ATCTCTGTGCCGCAAACCGATTTTCGTTCCGTGTCGGCCGATGGCTTGGTCACAGTGTCGTTCGCAACATCCTCCGTGTCGGAGCAGAACGATAGATCCACTTCGAGACGCATGTTGCACGCGACTGCCGGTGGAACGTCGGTGGCGGCAGCCGCTCCGCCGCTGACGATGGCGCCACACATCGGCCCTCTCGAGAAAAACGGCGAGGAAGACACAACGACACCAGCTATGGCGCTTCCACCACCGCCGAGCATACCATTCGAGCTGTTCACCATGTTCGCACTGTCCTCACCGTTGCTCGTTGTCCGCGATCTCGACGACGCATTGCCGGCTTCGCAGTGCTCCTGACCGCCGGTCGAATCCGCCACTGACTCTGTCTGACCGCCCGTTGCCACTGTCGTCACCGTTGTCGACGAACCAATCACCGCTGAACATAACTTCACACTGGCTCCGTTGCTCGCGAGTACTTTGCTCTGTTGCCTACGACGCTGGATCAAGTCCCTCTTCCACTGTGGCACGTTACTGCCGCTCGTTTCGCCGGCGGTCGTCGTCGTGTTGCTGGCGGTAGCCATGTTGGACGCGCGATGGGCGCGTTCACAAACGCGCGCCCGAGTGTACGCGACACACCGCTACGCTTGGCCCCCACGGCCAAGTTTCGACGCCTCTGCTGTCAAAATGTATACCTCGTTTCGTTTCAGACGCAACGCCAGCCGTTCATCGTGCACGTACGAGCTCTTCCGACAATCGGAACCACCAGCAGCTGCGTGCACGGCCGTTGGAAAATCGATGCCTCTGACACATATGCATGCACCGTCGCGCACGAGGTTGACAGAGAAGACGTTTCGCCCCTCTGACAGTAATTCACATCGTTTCTCGTGGTTCTCGTCTGGAAGAGAATACTTTTATCGAATACTCGTTTCACCGACGAATAATTAGACTTAATTTATGAATAATTGACAGAGAAAGCAGACTTTTTCCCTTCTTCGGACTCGATTCAATTTCGACGTTCGAGTCAAGTTTAGCGGAGAGTAATGGGGAAAGAGTTCAAGGTATCTGCCGCTTGCACAGAATCGAAAGGAATGAGCAACAACTCGAACACATACCGTGCACGACGTACCATTTCACTCGATGGTAAAACTATCGTGTCCGCTTCGTGCCCGGCGAAGGTCCGCCAATCGTTGGAAATCGAAAGTATATCTGCCCGTGAGGACGCACTCGCGCACGCATTCACGCACCCATGTGAAAACACTGACGAAAGGCGAGAGCACGGCGAGTCCCTCGCTCGTTTCGCACGCACTCCACTCCTGCCCCTCTATAGAGATATCGCCTCTCTCTCCAGTCTTCTATGCACCAGCCCCCTCTCGCATCGCGACAGAGCTCATCTGAATCTCTCCTCTCCTTCTTCACCCTTCTTGCTTTTGCCGCTGCTCGGCTCCACCACCCTGACGTTACACTTTCGATCGAGCAAACGCCGCTGCTATCGAGTATCGCGGCCAGAACATCGAAATCGTGTTTAGGGTTACGAGGGCGTATCGCGATTCGATTGCCGACAGGGCGGGAAATATAAAGCAAACGGCGGTTGACGTAAAATTTTTGGCTTTCGGAGTAAAAATTTTCATTCGGTATCAAGTGGCAACACGCTATGATTGCTTTTCAAGTCTGAAATTAAACAATTAGAAACAGAGAATTTGCCGCGCCCTTGTGCCATTTATTGTTAAATGAAAGCAGCGAAGAGCGTAACATGTGTCGAGCACGTTTAGAACGAGGGGGAAGCGCATCCGGTGAATGATAGTAACGAGTATGAGAAAAACAGGACGGATCTGAGAATCGGAACGAACGATGACCTAAAACGAGGAATCCCGAGCACTCGTGTTCCGTGACGAACGAGTCCCTCCCCTCCCACGGAATGTTTGTTCGTTGCACGCTTTACGCGAAACTCTTGTGTGGGTGTTATTATCTCGTTACATCGTAGACTGGTATTTTATACGCACGGGATTATATAGCCCTGACTGGTTCACGAAATAGTTCACTTCCGGCGTCGGCATTGCTATCAGAGCGTGCGAAGATTCATGACATCAACTGACTAGGAAAAAACCAAGCGTCTTAAACGTGTTTACTCAGTTTGTGGCTTGACCCGCCACTCCGAGAATTGATCGTATCACTACGATAATTTATCAACTATCGAAATGGATAAGAATTTTTTGCGAAGTCATTGCCCCCGTCAAAGTATGGCCTTAAATGTGAAAACACCTTTTTCACTTTGTTTCTTGCAAGAAACTAAATTATTGACAAGAGCCAAGTCGTTACATCGAGATCAACGTCTTCTGGAACAATGAAGAAATTATGCTACATCACTCAATTATGCTAAAACAAACTTGAATTTAGGTATCAATCAGAGCGTTTGATAATGTCGAGAAAGAATAATTGTTGACAAAGATGTTAATTGTTTCTTAAAAATTTAACTTTATGAAAATGTAAGTTTTCGTAAGTGCCGTGTTATTATACGATAATTGTAGTTTGACAAACGTAACAATTTTACAAACGTATACATCGTGTGCTTCTTAATTGTATGGGAAATTCAAACTAATTATGAATTATAATGCGAAACATGTCGCATGTGAAAACATCCGTATTGTGAAAAATGAACGATGAAACTCGATGTCTGGCTCTATGCATTTTAATAATGTGAACAAACCCGAGAAGCGACGTAATTCTCATTGAATCATAGAAATGCCTACAAATCATTAAATGGAACGCATACAATTTATGCAACTGTTTAACATGATCTAACAAGTGATGCAATAAATTTATCATAAAAAAAATTCTGGAATGCGGCTTTAATCACTTTTTCACGCGAAACTTGGTTTCTTTTACATGTAATTTCTACGTTCCACCTGGTTCAACAGTTGTGCAACAGTTTTCTATTCGCATAAATTATCCTTCAATATGGAATTGATACTTCATGCTCTTGATTGAAAATATTATTGGATTGCAATAGAAGTTTATTTAAATTACGAATGTCACCACCGATTTCAATGATTTCTAAAGATGTTGCGGAAATCAACACTTTGAATAATTTTTCCTTTTGCATGTAATCACTAGACTTTTAGTTTTCTAAACTAACTTAATATCACTATAGTCTATAAATTTTGTCCGTACATAGGTATTTTGTTGCACCAAAAATATTTTCATAACAAAGTTACATTATTTTGAAAAATATTTTCAGAACAAAGTTACATTATTTTGAAGACTCGGCCGATGAAAAAAGATTCTTTTCAAAGTTATTCTTTCATTATATTTTAATATTATCGATAGTTCTTTTAAATGGTACTATGTATATATTTTGCAAAGCGAAAGAGCAAATTCAATTACTCCTGTAACCATGCAGATCATTTAATTCTGGGATATTTGCATCTAAAAATAAAAAATTAATAATTTTCTTAGTATTCTATTAATACTGAAATCGATAACTAAAATATTTATCTTTGTATTTCCTGAAACTCCTATGAAAACAGATGCTTGATACTTTGACAAGCATTAAATAAAGATTAGGCAATCATTTGTTGGAACATTCGTTTATTTATTTAACATCTAATGATATAAATGTGTACATACTAAATATTTCGAAAATATTTAGAAAATTACGCAGAGATGCAAATATCCAGAGATTAAATGGTTCGAACGGTCATCGAGGTCATTGAATTTGTTTTTTTATGTTCTGTAAACATATTGGAAAAAAATATATAGTGTAATTTTAAAAATTATCGATGATCTTGAAATCTCGTAAAAAATTACTTTGAAAAAAATTTCTCTTCACTTGTGAAATAATGTAACTGTCCTGAGAAATTTTTTGATTAAAAAAAAAAAAACGATAAATATTTGGATGATCCCATTTAGCCGAAATACTTTATATGCATATTTGTGTGATACAATCGTTTCGTCATTTTGTTCACTGCTTGATAGTCTGTTTATCAACAATCAATCCTCTTTTCTTATATTTTACGAATCTAAATATACAGCTTCCATGAAAGCCGAGCTGCATATGCGAGAGCTTTCAAGAAACATCTTCGAAAATTCTATTTCAGTATCTGGTCAGATTTCATAGACAATCTAACGATTGATAGACAGAGAATCTAACAATAGACAATCTAACCCAAGTCAATACCGAAAGATCATCCTTTACATCGTTTAAAAAAGAGCAATCTTTCGGTATTGATTTGAATTACATCAATTCTTCGCCGGCTTCTAACCGTATGTCAAATCTAATTTGGATTAAATTATACAATTACTAATCAATAAAACGTAGTCAAATAGAATCAATTATATTTATTAGGCTGTTCGGTCATTTTTGACATTATTTATAATGACAGATTTATCACATTGTCCACAACATCAATAAAAGAGGAAGGTTATATAATAGACGTTTATTACAGCCATAAATGATCTATGGAGTACTCAACTTCGCTCAACTCTCGTTCATGTAAAATATAAATAGAAGATAAGATTTAGCTTCGGTCGACAAATTACTACTGATTTCACAGACACACAGTTGTATTATATACAATTCATTATAGTGGAATAGTTTAAAATCAAAATCTCGAAAACTAAGAAAATATGCGGTAACACGCAAAAAGAAAAAAGTTGAAAAATTCAAAATGTTTTGATGATTGAAATCGGTGATGACGCCTGTAATTTGAATAATTGCTCAAATATGCTTTTCCGCTTTTTCTTCTTTCCTTTTTTTCTTTTTCGTCTACATTCCTAATGTGAAATTTCGCAATACTTAACGTCACAAGTCGTTCGTTAACTTATGATAATATAACAAGTTTTATATTGTTCGAAACTTGTAGAATGTGTACAATACCATTGGCTAGGGGTTCCAAGTTTGCTACGATTGGTTCTGGTATCAAGAGAATAGACATAAGAACAAAATATGCATTTCCTTTATTAACATTTATTACTTAAACTGTGTAGGTAACTGAGTATATATCTCTTGCCCCTGTAACACCCTAACTACCAGTTTCGTATTATAGTTCTATGCGTTTATGAAACTACACAGAGTAACATGGCCGCCAGTTCTCGACATGTACGGAACCAGTTCCAGCATGAAACCGGTTTGGAACTAGTTTTCATTGGTTTTTCGGCCTCCTGCGAGACCGTGCCACGACCGAGATTGGCACTCGTGTCAGACTTCTCTTAGAGGTTAGAACGGAGATTACGTTGCGAGAGTGTGCTAATATGGCCGATAATACAGAGCAAGAAGGTAAGAAAAGTAGTTTTCAAACAAGGTTATATCCTATTATTGCCCTATATTCGTTGTGAATTCTACGCTATTTCGAACGTTTGGCGCTCATGTCGTACGCAAGCGTAGGTACAACTCTTTCTTTTTAAGATTGATAAAATTTTTGACATTATTTTATATTGTTAATAAATATACTTATGAATTACTAGCTCTCCTTATTCCGATTATTGTTATTCGTTTTATCAGAAACAGTGTTTACTACACTTTGACATGTAAATATATTCTTAAAAAGGGGAATACCTCGACGAACAAATGGAAATCAACCTCGATGAACAAATGGAAATCAAAGTGGAACCGACGCTGCAGGGGTATGTTGAAGAGGAACACGAAAACGATTTCCCCGGTTCTGATAGTAACAACTTAATTCCTTCTAGTGCTGATGTCGGTACTTTAAATTTATGGACCAGCAAAGCAACGGCATGTCTTATTAACCAATATAAAAAATATCATTCGATGGTAGGACAATCGACTCAGATTCGAAGTTTACGCGGAATGTTTGAGACGATTTCTCTCGAAATGCAAAAACATGGCTTTTATTTTAGTCCGCAAAAATGTGAAAACAAATGGCGTGTCCTCGAACGAAAGTACAAGAATCTAGTGTCTCGAGAGTTATTGAAAAAGCCCGGTAGGGTGAGGCATTACGGACAATGGGAGCACAAAAGGGCATTGGACGAAATTTTTAAGGAAAAGAAACGACGTATGTATTTCCAGAAAAGTGATTTCCCATCGCAAGCTAGTCGTGCAAGATACATGTTTATTTTACCGAAACCGATAAACGAGGAACAGAGCAATATTACTGTCGTCAATCAGCAACAGGAGATCCCTCTTGCGGCGCCGTCCTCAAACTCCTCCACAAACAACAAGAGCGAATTAATGGATCAAAAGGAGAGTCCAACAACGTTTTTCAACAAATTTCTCGAAGAGATAGCGAAGCATTTCGCGATGACGGAGAAGAATAGAGAAAAGAGACATAAAGAAGAAATGGCAATGCGACAAAATGAGTTAGAAATCCAGAAAAGGCTGTTGAAATTAAAAGAGCAGAAAATAGAGTTGCAGAAACGTCAAATAATTGCCGCTGCTCAGCACCTACATTTGAACATGTAGCATGAGAAATTGGGAACTCCTTGCGAATGAATCGTGTAGAAAATGAATAATTGAAAAAGTTCAATTTAAAAACGAGTGATTTTAAGTTTGATAGTTAATTAGCATTACAGTTTGCAATTTTCATTAATTGTTTCTATGTAAGATAATTTGTACCAACAGAGTTTATCAGAATGATATAAACAGTTTAATTATTATGACGTATGTATGAAATTATATCTACTCTCCAATATGTACACTTTTGTAGATACGTTACGATTGCTTGCTAGTTGCGCGAAACAACGTTCAGGTGGTAGCACCTTCCATCTTGTCCATGGCTGTGTATCATTTGATAATCGATGTATGTCGAGTTCTGTTTTTTCGACTGTCAAACCGTACAAATCTTTGGTCATGTATCAGCGTTTCTGCCTCTTAAATTTTACAAGAGGCTGTACGCCATCGTTTAAACGAATAAAAATTGTTAAGGATAAGAAGACAGACTGACTTGCACGTTGTAATCTGATTGCATAAAGTTTAAAAATACTTCTGTTTGTAAAATCGCTGTAGAGGCAAGTTCGTGTATCGTAGAACGAGTATATGTATCTCTCGTCCTGTACATATACTCGTACATCATGTTACACGGCGCAAAGACATGTTGGAGTTTGGTTTTATTGTTAAAAGTTACAGGGCGGTCGTTTCTGTTCAACATTAAGGATTACTTTCGCTGTGTACGCTGCCTCGTGCTCCTAATGACTCAATTTATTAAGCGGCAATTCAAAAGATTACCTCCCTAGGCTTCGTCGCATTGATATTGCACCTTCAAAGGATCGTGCAACGCGTAACGCCCGACAGAGATTTATAGCGCTTAAATGTAATTTCATTATTCTATCTTATCGGATTAACGTAGATCAACTCTTTTTTTTCTTCTCCCCCTCTGCATTTTCATTTTATTTATAGATGTTTCATGCAGATGTGCATCGTAAATTACACTAGCTCTCAACAAGGATATAATGCTAATATAACAGAGACGAAATTGTTTTGCGACTTTGCGACACCGGGAACAAACAAAATAGCGTCTGCGCTGTTTTCGATATGGCAGAAAAAAATCTATCGTCCACGAAATGTAGAACGCCGCTCATTAGGCGCTATAGCAGGGAAAGTTGGGATTAGATTCAATCAACTCGAATGGATCGTATTTCGCGTAATTAACATCCTCGATATCAAGCCATTCGATTCGTGATGTGATTAATTGAATTGGGGGCATTGGAATGGCTGCGGGATAAGCGTCGCGGAGCATATTTTCCGCGGTGCATTTTTTGCACGGATCACAGTGGAAAGTAGAATTTCATTGGAGGCAAGATTTACATTAACAGGATAGAAGAACGGTGAACTTAATTTGAACGGGAACTCGATCGCAGTTGTGTCGGGCACGTATCTTGATTCTGCAGTGAACCCGCCTTGGTGTCGCTTTACATTATGCCAGTGCATGACGATTATGTCGGAATTTTGAAAAATTCATTCTTGTTACGCAGCGTAGATTGAATAATCCATCTGTTCGTTCCTGGTGCCTCAACCTGGTTAATTTAAATTCAATTAAAATTCATACTTAAAATGCAACCGTCTCGCGTTTTAATATTCGCGCGATTGTCATTGTCCACGAGGGAGATGAGATGTAATTTCGACAAGCTTATTGGAATACCGAGACGCGACAAAGAGCAAACAATTTTACAAACTGTGGTGGATGCTTTTCGGGAAAAAAAATTGGTGAAACCGGTTACGCCCGGCCGCGTGGGTATTTGTATGCACTGACGACACGTATGATACATACACACACACGAGCGTAAGAGTTATACGCGGGCACGTGCAGGTACGTGGCAATAGGTGCACCTCGGGTAGTAGTATACGGAAGGGCGCCGGTTCGCTTGATACGGCTGTGAGTACGGCGGGTAATAGCGCGGAGGCGGCAAGTCGTCCAGTCGAGCCGCGACTACCGAGCGGTGAGCGTCATATCTTTTTTGATTTGTCCTCGATCTTCGCGGAAAGGAAAAAAAGACAAAAAAAAAAAAAAAAAAAAAAAAAAAAAAAAAAAGAAAAAGGAAAAGAAAACGAGGGACGGAGGGACTTGAAAACATTGCACCACGTTCGGCATGAAATTTTGGCACCGAAGGACGGTGCAGGCTTCCGGTGCGAAAAGCAGCCGCGCGAGGATTGATCTTCCGTCTTCGCCGAAATTTCGCGGTGCACACTGAGTAAACAGAGGGTGAAGAAGGACACGCGATTCGTTGGTGCGTGTCGACGCACGCGTACACGTCCCTCGCAATATATCATACGTAATATGCATCCTAGCGATTGTGGCATCTGCTTCGCGTGACCCGTGAACGTTCAGCTCGTAATACGCGATACGACTCCCACGAGTTTGCTTTGGAGTTTGATCGTACCAATCGTATATACCTGTGCATCCATCGGACAAACGTTCGAGAGATCATTCGAGCTAGTGGCAAACGAAATATCGACGACCGCCGTTACTTTCGTTGATGATAATCGCTACTGTGACTGCTGAAGTTTTGTAAATTTACGTCTGCGTTAGCGTGTCTCGGCTGGAAAAGGAATCACCGTAAAAAAGTGAATCGATCGCCAACCGTATCAACGAATACCAAAACCTGGTCGAGAATTACACCTCGGCTGTCGTTGCTCTTGACTCCGTGCGGGAAAAAAAAAAAAAAAAAAAAGAAAAAGAAAAAGATAGCTCGCGAGACGTCAGAAGGAGAGTCAGAAAACTCTGGTCGCGCGCTGCAGCGGATTTTTCAGTGGCGGCAGATGGCTTGGCAGATCGCATGCATCGCGTCCTGGCCTTTGCATCGCGTTTTCCAGCATGCTACGAGCCCTGAAGGCTCTGTCTAAGTAACAGTACTTCCTCGCGCTCGGTGGAGTAAGCCTCTCTCCCGAAGAACGGGACCCACACTCCACGGGTCCGCTCTCTACACGCTCCTCGCCTCCCGCCACCCCTCGCCACTCCATCGAACACGCTCTTTCTGTGTTTTCCCTCTCCTTCTATCGTGTCCCGAAGTAGTCTGGCCGGTCGAGCACAGGGAGTCTCGTGAAACCAGTCCTCGTACGGTGGACCTCTCGGTTGGGACCTGGCGCGGAGAGGCGGTTCGCTCGCTTGTTCCGTCTACACCGGCACCTTTTGCACCTGCCGTGCGATTCCAAGTTCTTCTTCTTTTTTTTCCTTTCTTTCTTTCTTTCTTGGCCTTTCCAAACCGATGCCTTCTGTGCTACCCTGCCCGAATAGCAACGAGATTTTCCGTGGATGTTCGTCCGCTGCAGTGAGACTCCGGGTCGGGTTCGCGCGAACGCGACACGCCGCGCATTTATTGCGCAAACCAGTCCTGCTAGACGGGAAGACGCATCGGTCATTTGTTAAGTGGCACGCTTTTGCACCGAATGCGGTACTTTGAGATTTCAGGTACAGCCTTCGGAGCAACGTTCCTCCCGGTAAACCTACGTCCCCGGTGATTGTGTTGTGGATTTATTATACATTAACGTTGCTGTCTGTATCGAAAATATAGAAGACCGAAGGGAAACACGTGTGTACAAATCAAAGGGAACAGGCATCTCTCGCAGTCATTCACGTAAACGTGATGCCCGTGTCAAGGCGCGTCACATTTCATCCGCTCCGTGACAATTTTCGGAGCGCACCGAAGAGAACCGGGAAGGCAAATCAACGGCCAGTAAACATCGAAATCGGCGTGCAAAGTGGCTCGCGTTAAGTCACCGACCACTATGTCAAATGCTGCTGGAACGTATCGGAGAAATAAAAGAAACGTTGAAAGACGAGCACGTTTGGAGATTTAGAAAAATTCGTCGTGAACGGCAAAGCCCGATTGGTGAAAGAGAGGTTATGTGCCACTCTCCGGATTCGACCTAACCTCCAAGTGTCTCGGTTACGAGTCCCACTAATCTAATTTGTGCCTCTTACTGCCGCGCGCTTGATGCACGCGCTGATCGTACGCCACAGCGTTCAAATTTCTTTTCACAGCCGTTGATAATCAATGTACGATCTCGGCGATTTGGGATCGTCGATCGACCGGAAGCTATCGGTCCGCCATTGTTGAATTCTAAGAAATCGTTCAAAGTGCCCACTTCTTGTGCTATTTATCATATTTGCTACTTCGTTTCCGATCGCGGCGACGTTATCGACTTACTGGCCGGTGAATTCGATCGAGGTCGCTCTGCTTGCAAATCGATTCCCGCGGATGGATACCACGGTGCAATCGAAATCGTAAAGGTCGAGAGCAAACGCGGAATTCAAGCCAGTGTTCTCTGCCTATTTGTGCGTGCGTAATTCAGCCTGTGCGTTTGCGTATTCCGTTTCAATCCCGGCCGCTTTTGCCGTGTGACATCGACGTTGTGAAACCGAGAAATCGATGGATCGACGCTGAGAGGGTCGCTTCGAAGAATTCGCAAGGAAACAGCCAGAAGAATGAAGACCACACAACGCGCGCTAAGGTAAGACTACTATAATATCTACTATAATATCTCGATGTTACGCTCTATATTCTCCAGAGCAATTACTACTAATAGAACAAGTCATCATTGGCGATAGAAGTTTGTTTCGTTTAACCACTCGCGCTGGCAACTGATCGCGGACCATAACGAGTGACCGTGTACAATAATTCGTCGCTTTCTTTTTGATACTCGTCTGGATAGAAATTACCGCGAAGTAACAAATTTATTATTTGTTTTGCCTGGGTCATACTTAAATACACTTAAAGCTGAGGAAATATTGCAATTCTGGGACAAAAAATTCTCGACGTGCGTGATACTATAAATAATATAAATGGCAGGTCGCGTTTGTTCCAACTGTTGGATAATTACGGTAGACAATTATTCTCGAACGACCTATCGTGGTCCATTGTCTCTGTTAAATTTCTTATCTATTGCCCACGCGGTGATTTGCTGCACGTTCGGGACGGGAGAAATTTTCATTTCGAGGACGCGTGTCGTCAAAGAAGCCGTGTCGCACAACATTGAAAGCATTGTCCTTTTATACGGTTATTTTCTTTTGCCTTCGTTGAATGCAGCCTCTATCGCGCTTTACAAATAAGACACCTCATTTCCTAAGAATGTCCGTAGGTGGTAGCGGTTGGCATTGATATTTTGCATCGTCCTATAACATCTCGGCACACTTTTCCCCCCCCCCCCCGGATCTCTCTTTGTCACTGGATCGTAAACAACATTACAATGGCGCAATGCCAAAATTTCCTGCAACGAGACTCGACCACAGCCATACATAAGGAATCATAAATAAGTATATCTCCAGCGGGTTTGTACTCATTGTTTTCGAGCTCGCGAAAACAAAAAGAAAGGGGAAAAAAAAGAAGAAACGAGAGAAGAAACGGGTCCTGACAAGTGATTAATGCGATCGTTTCGAAAGAACGTCCTGTTCGGTTGGCCCGGCCTCGAGCGCGTCGCGAATCCCCTTTAATCACAG